GGTCCCGGCTCTCTGCTCCCCCCCCCTCTCTAACCACTAGACCCCACTCCCCTCCAGAGCTGGGGCTAGCACTAACGAGCCCTGCCTCCCCTTTCCCAGCTCTTCCCTCACAGCCCAACTGGCAGCTTGCAAAGCCCAGACCTCCCCCGCCCCCACCCCCCATTCTGGTCAGTCAGCTGGCTGGGGATCCACTTACCACTCAGCACGCAGAGCGGGGGCAGTGGCAGGCCACGTGCCCCGCCCTACTCCCTGTACTGGGGGGGAAAAGGGGGGTGCGAGAAGAGCCCCGCCTCCATGCCTGCTCGGTCCTCAACCCCTCCGGCGCAGCCAAGAGGGCAGGTCTATTCTTGCCACAGACCATGGGGGAGGCCCCGTGCCCAAGACCCAGCAAACTCGTTGCACTCCAGTCCCCCCGCTCTTCTCCCCCAGCGGGAGCCACTGCTGGATTTGAAACCATGGCTCGTTGCCCATCCCCCTCGCGGCCGAAAGCGGGCCAGACGCATGCAGCAGGAGGAGGGGGACACACACTTACTTCCCGACATGAGGAAGACCCCGTTGGGGTCCACGGCCAGGCAGGTGACAGCGTCCAAGTGAGCGACCATGGAGTGGACGGCTTTCCCTGGGCAAGGCGAGCGGAGAGGGTTACTCGGCCTGCTCCCCCCACCTCCTTGTGGTTCTGCTCCAGCCACTAGGGTGTTCTCCCCACAGCGCTGGATTCCCCAAGGGCCTGGCACTCGAAGGGGAGGGCATAGAGAGGCCCCTGGCTGGCCAGAGGGGACGGGCGTCTCCTGGGGAAGGGGGAGACAGTGATACCCGCAGTGGATGAGCAGGAAAGGGCTGGGAGCCACTGGATCTGCAGACGGTGTCTGCTCAAGGTAGGGGAGGGGAGCCTAGGGCTAGGGCCATGGGCCTCGCGAGAGCCAATCCCGTCGCACCATGAGTGAGTCTCCCTGCAATAGGCTTGCGGGAAGCTCACCCATGTGCCCTGGGTAGATGGCAGGCAGCACAAGGGGACTGGGCCCTACACACCTGGCTTCATGGGAACCCTGCCCCCATACCCGCCAGCTGCCCAGGGCAGGACCCAAAGCACATCGGAGGCCAGTCATGCCAGACCCTCGGGCCTGTGGGAGAGACGGCCCCATGGGACGGGCAGCAAGGCCCTCCTCGGTCCGTGGGAGCTCAGGATCAGCACAGCCGGGGTGGGTGGAGAGGAGGCAGCGGGCTGCAGGAGTCAGGTCCAACCCGGCCCGCGCTGGCCGACAGCTGCCCTACCTGTCCGGTTGTCCAAGAAGCGGATCCCTCGGTCGTCGTGGGCCGTGATGGTGACGGGCTGCTTCGGGTGGCTCACGACGTGATTGATCTGACAGAAGCCTAGTTCAGAACACGGGAGAGGGGGCAGGTTACCACGGAACCATCCGTGCGCCATCGCCGGCCACACGAGAGCAGCTCCCTGCCTAGGACCAACCGCGCCTCTCCCTCTTCGCAGCCCCCAGCTGGAGAAGCACCTACCAGCGAGGGATCTCAAAGCGCACACTGAGCTGCTGGATCTCAAAGCACACACTAGCTCCCCCTCCCCTCACACAGCAGGGAGTGGAACCCAGGAGTCCCCCGGGCTCACCAGTGGCAGCTCTGGCTTCCAGCTTAGCGTCAGGATGGGCCGGGCGGTCTCCAGGTCATACAGCACCGTATTCCCCGTTCGGAAGGCGGCCACAACATGGGAGGGGTCCGTGCTGGCGAACACAACAGAGGTTGGGATCCCGTACTCTGCAGGAGGGGTGAGGACACAGCAGAACAATGAAGGATGCCTTACGGGGTCCACTGTCATGCGCTCCCACCAAGACCACCCCTGCTGCAGCTCCTGACAGAGCAAAGCATTCCAACCCCACGGACACACTGGTCTCAGCTTCTCCACCCCCAAAATGCAGCCATCTCAGGGGCGGAGCATGTCCCGTGCACACAGCAACGGCATGTATTTTACAGTAGGAAGCAAAGAACGACCGAGGTCTGTTACAGAGGAGGGTTGGCATTCCTCAAGCTGAATCTGACCAGAGTTACAGGGCAGCATCATGACTCTTCGGGAAGTTACCGAGGGATCTTCAATGCCCACAAGAGCGAAGGCACCTAGCTAAGGTACGTGTGTGGCTCCCAGCCTCGGTAGTATCAGCACTGTCCATTCTTTAGATCCTCACAATGTCAGCGAGGCAGGGCGGGCCTATTATCCCCATTACACAGATGGGGAACCCAAGGCACAGAGAGACAAAGTGACCAATGCAGACTAGGATGCAACAGAGTCATCCAAGTCCTAGGCGAGTGCCCTAACCAATGGGCCATCCTTCCACTACCTGTTGCACACGCTCCCTAGGCGGAGTGGGCAATAACTTTTGATGGGGGGGGGTGACGTAGTGCGGGGTAACCTGCTAACTCTCTGGCTGCTGTCTGTAGCACCACGGAGCAGACAAACGATGAGTCACTATGCAAAGAGGGTATCCCAACTGGTTTGGCCAGCTGACCCCCATGGAGAGGAACAAAGGAAGGTGGAATGCTGCCTTGGCTGGGGGGCAGGACTGGAGGAGAGTGAGTGAGTTCCTGGCTGGAAAGCAGGGAAGAAGGAACTGGGGAGGGGGCTGGGATCCCCCTATCTCAAAGGGGGCACTGAGGCCTCTTAGCCCCAGTTCCTGTAACCAGATTACATCTGTGCTATGCTGTATCCTGGAGGAGCAATAAACCACCCTCAATTCTACTGGCTGGTGGAGTCTGTTTGTGCCATTTCAGGGTGCAGGAGACGGGGGACCCCCAATGCGCCGTCACAGGGGGCCATGCCAAGATTTAGAATCATAGAAGCTGAGGGCTGGAAGAGACCTCAGGAGCCATCAAGCCCAGCCCCCTGCACAAGGCAGGACCAATCCCAACTAAATCAACCCAGCCAGGGCTTTGTCAAGCCGAGACTTAAAAACCTCTAGGGATGGAGATTCCACCGCTCCCTAGGGAACCCAGCCCAGTGCTTTCCCACCCACCTAGGGAAATAGTTTTTCCTAATATCTAACATAGACCTCCCCCACTGTAACTTGAGACCACTGCTCCTTGTTCTGCCATCTGTCACTATGGTGAACAGCCTCTCTCCATCCTCTTTGGAACCTCCCTTCAAGAAGTTGAAGGCTGCTCTCAAATCCCCCCTCACTCTTTGCTTCTGCAGGCTAAACAAACCCAAATCCCTCAGTCTCTCCTCATAGGTCATGCGCTCCAGCCCCCTAATCATTTTGGTTGCCCTCCGCTGGACCCCCTCCAATGCGTCCACATCTTTTCTGTAGTGGGGGGCCCAGAACTGGACATAGATGTGGCCTCACCAGAGCCGAATAAAGGGGAATAATCTGCTGGCAATGCTCCTCCTAATGCAACCTAATCGGCCATTAGCCTTCTTGGCTACAAGGGCGCCCTGTTGACTCATCTCCAGCTTCTCATCCACTGTAACCCCCAGGTCCTTTTCTGCAGACCACATGGTAAGAGGTCAAAGGCCGCACTTTTCTATGGGGGGGAGGGGGGGCAGAGTCTGGGACGGAGGCTGGGGTCAGAAAGGAGCTCTGGGGTGCAGGAGGAGGTGGGGTCTTAGAGGGAGTTTGGGTACAGGAGGGGAGTGCGACCTGGGGCAGGTGTTTGGGGTGCAAGGTTCGGGTGCAGGAAAGGCCAATGGGAGCTGTAATGATTGTGCTGGGTAAGGGGACAAAGTCCATCCGCTCCTCCTCCCCCCACCAGCGCAGAGGGGCGCATGACCCCAGCAGCAGGCAGGGAGCCTGCCTGAGGGTCCTGATGGCCCGTGGGCCAGATCCAAAGGCTTGGTGGGCTGAATGCAGCCCACAGGCCAGATCTTGCCTGTCTCTGTCCCTAAGGACTGTGCTGGAGCTCTGAGGTCAAGCCTGACCCAAGACGAAAGAGCTCCCCCTCCTGTTCCTTAATCTGGTCAGGAACACCCCCCCCCTTCCCAGCCACGCTCCGGTGTCCCGGGGGGCTTTGCTCACCACGCTCTGTGTTGTAGGTGCTGAGGCAGGGCGGGTTCCCGCTAGGGTCCCATATCCTGACCGTGCCGTCTGCTGAACACGACGCCAGGCGATTCTTTGAAGCGTTGAACGCCAGGCCCCAGATCGCATCGGTGTGGCCTTCCAGCACGTTGCTGAGGACTCCTGGATCTGAGCCGGAAACAAAGCCGGGGGCAAGGAGGAGTCACACGGCATCCTGGCTCCCAGCTGGGGAGCCTCATGCTAGTTTGCTCCAGAGACCTCATGTGGCCCACACACTGAGGGGCTCAGTGCAGCCACGTCCTCACTTTAAACTACAATTCCCAGAATACAGTGCTCCACCTCCAGTGCAGCAGCCAGGCCACAGTGCATGCTGGGAGCTGTAGTCTCCCCAGGTCTTACAAAAGGCTGAGATTTCTACACATCAGGTGCAGTCATCAGTTCCTGACAATGGGGGGCGTGAGCAGCTTCAGGGCCCTGGAAGTGGCAGGGGCGCGGGGGGGGGGGGGGGCGGGGGTAGCGGTGTCAGCAATCAGGAGTCCTGGGTTCTGGGGCAGCGGTCTCCTTCGTCCCCACGTCTCAGCAGACCTGAGCACAGTCGTCTATTGGGCGTTGGCTGGCCCACTCCTCAGCACTGCCACTCTGCCCTCCCAGCTCTGCAGAACTCCCAGCATTCCCGAGGCTCCTCCCCGCTGGCAGCAGACAGACCGGGCCTGGGGGTCTGCCGGGGAGACAGGAGTCCTGGGTTCTGGGGCAGCGGTCTCCTTCGTCCCCACGTCTCAGCAGACCTGAGCACAGTCGTCTATTGGGCGTTGGCTGGCCCACTCCTCAGCACTGCCACTCTGCCCTCCCAGCTCTGCAGAACTCCCAGCATTCCCGAGGCTCCTCCCCGCTGGCAGCAGACAGACCGGGCCTGGGGGTCTGCCGGGGAGAGGAGGGACAGAAGCTGCCTGAACCCACCATAACTGTCGTAAGGATCCATGCCCAAATCCGGGACCTTCCAGAAGCGGATCCTGGTGTCCGTCCCTCCACTGTAGCAGTACTCGCTGTTACAGCCCATGGCGACGGAGAGCACCGGGCCCCTGCAGACACGAGACAGCCCCAGAAATGAGGCGAAGGAAATGGGGCAAAGAAAGAAGGGGGAAGTGGGGGGGAAGGGGACTTGCAAAGCTGTAGGATGGGGCGTGGGTGCAGGCCACACGGGCTGAGCCGGCCACAGGGGGAAGGAGCTCCCAGCTGAGCGCTGGGCAGGAGGCAGAATCAGAGCGCCCTCTAGTGGCCATGCTCCTCTGCTGGCACTCCAGAAATTTAATGCTCCAGTCTTGCCCTGCAGAGCAGCTGGCCAGGATAGGCCCTGACCTTCTCCCCCCGACCTCTAGCAGGTTTAAGCCTCAGCCCTTCACTGAATCACAGATGGCCAAGAGCAGGGTTCCAAGCTCTGATCCCAAGGCTGCACAGGGATGCGGGGGCATGGGCGTGGCGCTCTGGGCTTGCAGAGTTCGTTGGGGGGAGCGTCATGGATTCAGGCCCCTGGGCGAGGAGAGATCCCCCTGGGCAGCGGTTCCAGGCATCAGCCTCACACCCGGTGACGCACCTGTGTGCCCGGAAGGCGTAGACCGGCTCAACATCCAACGCGGCGTTCCTGGGGCAGGAGGAAAGGGCAGAGATTAGGAGGATGCCCAGGTCCCTTGGGGGGGGGGGGGGGGGGGGAGCTTTATACTCCACCATCCAGCAGAACAGGCTCAGGGCCCCCAGGGAAAGGCTCAGGGTGCAACGTGTGACCTTCCCTCAGCAGCAGGGACTTTTGTTGTTAACAGATCAAGCCAACAGCCCCCCTTCCCCATTAGCCAGCCCTGTACCCAGCATGGGGTGGGTGCCAGTGGGGTGGGTGCCTAGCTGGCAGACAAGGGAGCTTTATACTCCACCATCCAGCAGAACAGGCTCAGGGCCCCCAGGGAAAGGCTCAGGGTGCAACGTGTGACCTTCCCTCAGCAGCAGGGACTTTTGTTGTTAACAGATCAAGCCAACAGCCCCCCTTCCCCATTAGCCAGCCCTGTACCCAGCATGGGGTGGGTGCCAGTGGGGTGGGTGCCTAGCTGGCAGACAAGTGGGCGTGTTTATGTTTTCCCCTCTCCAGAGCTGGCTTTTAAAGGGTGTGGTGGAAGCCACCCCGTCTGCCTGGCACTCTTCCCGCTGGCCCTGGCATGCCCCCAAGCTCCAGGCAAGGCTCACTTTTTGGCAGCGACGGTCTTCTGGAGGTTCCACAGCTTCAGCGTGCCGTCTTCCGAGGCGGTGACCAGCGCGGACTCGGTGTGATGGAAAACCAGGGCCCGGATCCCGTCGTAGTGACTCCGGAGGGTGAACTTGGGATTCCAGGTCTTCTTAAAGGCGTCCTTGCCGTCCGACAGCTGGGAACACAAAACAAGGCTGCATTATGCTCCCTTTCTCCTCGGAATGGGGCCAAGCCACCTCCTTCCATTTCCAGTAAGAGCCCCCGGCAGGCGGACTCGGTGTGATGGAAAACCAGGGCCCGGATCCCGTCGTAGTGACTCCGGAGGGTGAACTTGGGATTCCAGGTCTTCTTAAAGGCGTCCTTGCCGTCCGACAGCTGGGAACACAAAACAAGGCTGCATTATGCTCCCTTTCTCCTCGGAATGGGGCCAAGCCACCTCCTTCCATTTCCAGTAAGAGCCCCCGGCAGGGACCAGCAGCAGACTGCCCCTGCAGCTCTGTTGATTATCCCAAGCATGTGTATGCTGTCTAACTACACCAGGTCCTTATATGGTCACTATCACTGTGATATAGCAGCTCCAGGCAATATTTATCCTCTCAACACTCTTGTGAGGCAGGGCAGGGGTATTACCATTACTGTCTGTTCACGCAGCACTTAGGCTGTGTCCAGACTCAGGGTTTTTTTGGGGAAAAGTAGCCTTTTCCCGAAAAAACTTCCCCTGCGTCCAGACTCAAGCCGCGTTCTTTCGAAATAATTTTGAAAGAACGCGGCTTTTCTTTCGATGGCGGTAAACCTCGTTTCACGAGGAAGAACGCCTTCTTTCGAAAGTTCCTCTTTCGAAAGAAGGCGTTCTTCAATGTAAATAGGGCTTCCTCGAAAGAGAGCATCCAGACTCGCTGGGTGCTCTCTTTCGAAAAAGCGGATTGCTCTTTCGAAAGATCCGCCTGCAGTCTAGACGCGATCTTTCGAAAGAGGCTCTTTCGAAAGATGCTTTCGAAAGAGCCTCTTTCGAAAGAAGCCTGCAGTCTAGACATAGCCTAAGTACGCTGGGCCATGCCTAGGGCTCCTAGGCGTTACCGTAATACACCTTATAAATTGCTTCATGGATTGGGAAACTGAGGCACGGGGCGACTAAGTGACTCGCCCAAGGTCACACTGGGTGGCAAAGTAGAGACCTGAAACTGGGTCTCCCATGTCCCAGGCAAGAGTCATAACTGCTGAGCCAGGGCTTCTCTTCAGCTCAAGTTACCCATTTTGGCTGATGTCAACAGCAGCCCACAGCGTTTCAGGGCACCACAAGCCACACTAATTAATGCTCATGCAGGGGCGAGGGAGTGACACCGGCTACTCACGTCACAACTGAGCTCGTTGTCGTTGGCGACGGTCAGGTCCGCCAGGTCCCCCAGACTCACTTCCCCTCCGCCAATGGTGTCCATGATAAACACGTCCGAGGAGAAGCCAAGCGACCCTGCTGCAAGGAGAGAAGGGGAAGAGCTAACCGGAGGGGTACCGGGGGGGAGCGGGCTTCCAACTGTAGGAAAGACGGTGGTATTCCAGGTGTGCACCCTGACAAGCACCCCAGGGCACCCCGAGTAAGAGGCCGCCGGTAGCACCTCTACAGCTGGGGAGTGGCTGAAGAGGTCCAAAGACCAGAGAAACAAGACTGCCTCAGTGTGATGGACCCTCCAGCTTCTCCCTCCCTGCAGCCAGGAACAGGGTTAGTAGCTCCCCAGCCCAGGCAGACAAAGAGGCGAGGTGTTACCTTCGTGAGACCTGAGGTGACTGGAGATGGCAGATGGAATGGATGGTTTAGGAGGGAGCCCATCGACGTCCCGGAGGTCAGCAAGTATGCCTTGAAGCTTAACTCTCTGGCTCTCTGCAGGGGTAGGAAAGAGCAGGGAGGAAAGTTAAAATCCAGGCAGTGGCAGCCTGGTCAAACAAGTCGTTTCTTTGGGATCAGGACCAGACTTCTGGAATAGCACTGGTGTGCGCTCCCCGGCCACGTGAAAGGAACGCTGCCCGTTCAAAGCAAAAACCACCACCTGGTTTGCCTGCCGGAGGCACTGTGAACATCTGGGGTCGTGATAGCAGAGAGAAGGAATTTCTCCCTGTTTGTTCCAGTGCCTTTCTACAGTTGATAGCACGGGTCAGTTTCACGCTCCCCCTGCTCTTGGGATTCTTTCACCAGACAGGGGGAGAGAGAAACATGCAAAAAGGGGAATGAATTCAGCAAAGCCCCGTGGCCTATGCTACGTGGGGGTCAGGTCACAAGGGTCCCTTCTGGCTTTGGAACCTGCAAAGAGGAAAAGTCCCCAAGGGACCGGTCTGGGACCTGTTCTGTCTATGGGAGCTCTTATCTCGCTTGCATGACTACACCAGGGCGTCTTTCAGTCATGCAGTAACTGACAACGACCATCTTTCCCCTGGGGCTCATTCTACCCCGCCAGGGGCAGGGAGGGGAGGGAACTGCTTTGGTATCCACACGGCTCTGTGTTTGTTACAGGAGCCGGGTCAGAGCTCTGCTCCGCACCAGGAGCAAACGGCAGCAGATTTGGGAGGGGCCTTAACTCCTGGGGAGAGGGGGGATTGTTCCACAGTCGGGGCCCGGCCCGGGAGGATGCTCTGTCCCCTGCACCGACAGGCGTTACCCAGATGGTAACAAAGTTCTATTGTGCTGGAGGAGCAGCAGCAGCAGCCATGCTCCGCATCCTGGAGCGTTCGCTCTTTCCCATTGGCTGGGCCCTGAACTGGAGTCACTTTCTGTGGGCTGCCAGCATAGAGGACAGGCGTGACCTGCTCCCAGCAGCCAGCGGCACTGGCCCAGAACTGCCTTCAGCTCATGCCTTGAAACGGACGACGCGCCTGCTTCCGGTGCGGGCTGGGCGGCTGCCTGGCTCGTTGCAGCCCGAGGAAACGGAGAGCGCTCAGCTCCCCGAGAACACGAGGTGGTACAGGGAAGCAGAGCCGCTCGCGTCGGAAGACACTCAGGCCCAAGGCTCAGGACCTGTTTGGGAGCTGCTGGAAGCCAGGCTGGTGGGAATGGGGGAGGGGAAAACA